CACATGATGAGAGTGAAGGAAGCAGTGGCACTAGTATGAAGCAGCCTGGGACATGATGACAGTGAAGGAAGCAGTGGCACTAGTATGAAGCAGCCTGGGACATGATGACAGTGAAGGAAGCAGTGGCACTAACATGAAGCAGCCTGGGACATGATAGTGAAGGAAGCAGTAGCACTAGTATGAAGCAGCCTGGGACATGATGATAGTGAAGGAAGCAGTAGCACTAGCATGAAGCAGCATGACACATGATAGTGAAGGAAGCAGTAGCACTAACATGAAGCAGCCTGGGACATGGTAGTGAAGGAAGCAGTAGCACTAACATGAAGCAGCCTGGGACATGATAGTGAAGGAAGCAGCCTGGGACATGATGATAGTGAAGGAAGCAGTGGCATTAGCATGATGTCCGGGACATCTAATGAGTGGTTGGAGAGAAAAAGAGAGGCAAGGCCAGTTTTTCTTCCTTAGAGACGTCGCCATCGTCATACCGGCTGTAAATATAATCCGTAAGGGACTTTGACGCATTTCTTTGAAGAGATAAAACACGTTCCTGAATATATGTAATTAAATTAAATTAAATTGTAATAAACATGAAATGAGGGGTTTTGTAGTGAAGCCTTCTTGTACAAATTCATTATTCTACATCATTTGCTTTAAAAAATGCAGTGCTTGTACACGTGATCAAGTACAGGAGATGGTGAGCAAGTTTCCAAAGTAATACATAGCATTAGTACAGTTACAACACTTCTTTTACAACAATGATTTTTTTAATTTCAAAATGTGCCATTTACAGGTGATTCTAATATATACATGTGTGCACACCTCTCAAAATGCTGAGTGAAATATCTGATAAAGGTTTCTTGGTGCGAACATGAAGAACTTGGACCCATGTCAGGTATTGACAGAAAAAACAGACTTGCAAGAGTGGAACCCTCTCTGCACTTATAACCTGCAACTATAAGTGATACGGTCACCATCGTTAACACTGGTGCTTATCTTTCACACTTTCCTTATATTATTGATCCACCCCAATTTATTTCACGTTTGTATGACGACAGTATTACAACAATTGAGCATAGTTTGGTCTATTGGAACTACATTTGCATATTACAATATAAGGGCCTTCTTTGTAGAGTTAGCTGACAGGGTTATGTCCAATGTTTGCATTGCTCTTCACTCGGTATCAAAGATTCATGGTTTGTTTCATCATGTCTACTTGTAACACCAAATTGCTGATCTCTGTACTCCTGAAAAATATAATTACTAATTAGTGCTGCCATCTATTGATCATTACAGCCGAATTTAATTAAGGTGTTCATTAAATGAAGGCCAACGCTCCATTAGGAGTGTTCACAACTTTGATATCGTTAATGATTAATGATGAATGATTACTGATTGACAATCCTAACCCTAACCCTAACCTAAATGACATTAAACCACAAACTAATATATGCCCATGACCATATATATATATATATCTATCTTATTATGACATTAAAGTTAGGAACACTCCGAATGGAGTATCACCCATTACTCATCTATTCATACAGCTAAACAACATTTATCTATTTGATGAGATAGAGAAGCAAACCCCAGAGATTCTTACTCGTTCTGTAGGATACCGCCTATCTGCTCCTTCTGATTTTTGGTGAGTATCTGTTCTCCATCTCGTCTGCTGATCCTTCTCGTTTGATTTCTGTGGTACTCGGCTTTCTTCTCCACCTGTATTCGAATGACAACCAATGAACAGTTTCGTTGACCTCACACGTTGCAGTAATTAACCAGGTTTTTCCTACAGGACCACATGAGAACGTGTACTAGCAGGGGTAGAAATTAACTTTTGAACACGGGAGTCCAACGGACTGGACTCCCTACCCTCAAAAAGGGGGAGTCCGCAGTCTGATGTTCAAAATGAAAGATATTAACAATAACGCATGTGCTTATTTTTAAGATTCATGCAGTTGCACGTCTGCCAAATTTTCTTGGGACATTAGCTGAAAAAATACGGTAATTCCGCGAGGCCGTGCTCCGTAACAAACTAGTCAGTATCGCAGAATTTTCAGGGAGTCGCACGGACTCCTGCATATGTCAAATCAGGGAGTCCGACAGTAAATCGGGGAGTATTTGACTCCGGACTCCTGTTGATTTCGCACCCTCAGTACTAGTATATCGTAAACAGATTTTTTACGACGGGATTTAACAGCACAAGCGCCCCCACACCTGTCACACTACCTCTCGTCTCGACAGGAGGCATTACCTGATTAAGACTTGTCTTGAACACACTCAGCTTCTGCTTTATCTCTCCCAGCTCCTTGGCCATCGCCCTTTCTGCATCGGAGAGCACCGGCATGCGTGACTGCAATGCCCTCAACACCTGCTCCGCCCTGGAAAGTAACACAAGCACTTGTCTACAATGCCACCAACACGTTTTGCCGTGGAGGGTAATCTACACTGTTAACTACACTGCCCTCAACACATGCTTTGCCTGGAAGGTAAACACAGTTATCTACAGTGCCAACAACACCTGCTTTGCCTTGGAAGCTGCGTGCACAGCACCATTAAACAGACTGGCTCATGAACACACTGGTAACCCGACCTGCTGCAGTATAGCCCCACAAAATACCTTCACAGCGTAAAAATGTCCCTCGCCGCAGAGTGAGGGGGGGGGGCTTAAGACAACAGCCACACCAATTAATGTACTGGCTTACACACATAGCACCAAGGTCACCAAGAGCCACAGGTAATTATATCAGATTGCCTTGTAAGCTACATGGTGGTACCATAGGATGGTAACGGCATCACTTGCAATGCAATGATTAACTAGAGCACTCGGAGAGCACAGACCTCCGCCAAGGCAGCTGAATTCTCTCAATGTGAAATTTTTTATTAATTAATTAATTAAGTGGAAAAATTTATTCATTAATTCATTAATTAAATAATTAATTGGATCCGGATTAGTGCGAGCGTGCAGGTGGGGGAGGACTGTGGTTGCCCCTTAGCCTGTGGTTGCGTGTTTGTAAGTCTACAGCCAGCGCACCTAGCGGAAGTGAACTGAAACGTGCATGTTAACAAACCCACAAACACACAAACCAACACTCAAACACACGCCGGTGAAAACATAACCCCCGCCAAGCCCCTGGCGGAGGTAACAAGGAATATACCTCACTCTTTCGGTTCTGCAGCAGCAGTAGCATCTTCCTACAATGGTGTCACAGAGACTCATCACAGTCTTAAACTAGATGGCGCTGGTGTAACCAGATGAAGCAGACTCGCTGTGCGAGTTGCAATTGCGATTTGGTTTCCATTAGAAGCTGTCACCGTGACGGCCGTAACCGTGGTAACGGTGACACGCTTCGATGCTCTCACCTGGTGACAATCTCACTCATGCTGTAGTTGATGTCATCGTATTTCTCCGCGAGTGCCTCGGCGTTGCATTGCAGTGCTACCTTGCTATCATCCACTGCCTGCAGGTCTGCCAGCTGCTGCTGCTTCTGTTCCACCAGTGATCGCACCCTGACACATTATTATTATTATTATTATTACATACGTAGCAGTGGTAGTAGTAGCAAAACTATTATTACCATAATATGTAACACCACAAGAACAACATGTCCGTCAATGTCAAGTAGAAATGATTGGCAATGACATTTGAAAATTTACTTTTGCCAAATATATCTCTCTGTTTCTATCTCTCTATATCTCTTCTATCTCCCATATTTTACTATATCTCTCTCTTCCCCCCCCCCTCTCTCTCTATCTCCATCGCTGTCTCCATTTCTTACTCGCTCTCTCTCTCTCTCTCTCTCTCTCTCTCGTGCTCTCGCCCTACCTATCTCTATCTCTATCGCCATCTCCATTTCTCTCTCTCTCTCGCTCACCTTCTATCAATCTCATCCATGACTTGCTGGTGTTTGAGCAGGTATTCCTCCCTGAACACCTGCGTCGTCCGACTCAGCAGCCGATAGCAGTCTGCCGGGGAGAGGTCGGACGCGGCGCCCCTGCACACAGCAAATGCTACATCTTATAACACGTCAGTCTTCAAAGTATGGCACTAGTCGAAGATATACAGGAGTGTCGAAAGACCAACAGACGTGTGTAGTAGCAGTATGTTAGCCAGAGACCCGTCCACCCGTCTTTTGGACGGCCTATTCTTGGATAAGACGGATGAAATTTGATAGAGACGACATGAGGGCGGCCCAATTATATATATTACACACCTTGTATAACTGACAACAGTGCTTATAAGAATATAAAATCATATCAGATTCCTGTTTTTTGGCATTTCAGACTAAATTTCCTCCATTTTAAGGTAAGGCCCTCCCCCCTAGGGTGCTTCGCTCCCGCAGCATCCTTGCTTCGCTCAGATGGTGAGACTCTCTGATTTTTTCCCCTGGCTAACACCCTGTGTAGTAGACACAAGTTCATCTGCCTCCTAACTACAAACCGCCATCCAACAAGTGCATCTGCCTCTCAACAACCAACTACAAACAACAAACAAACAAACAAACAAGTTCATCTGCCTCTCTTTTATTGACTGTAAACCTACCTTCTAACGAGGGTAATTAACAGGAAAGGAGACAAAATGCTAATACGCTAGCCTACGGCAGCATTAGCATACCGGAGCGTAGCAACGTGCCGGTTAGACGGGTGGTGACGTTTACAGAGCCCGGTAGTAAAACAAGATGATTCTCACCTGAGCATGGGTGTGGAGGTGGAACGCTGCAGGAGTCTGCGTATGTGTCCGTCGAAGCCGTGGCCATGGAGATGTCGCAGCGGCGATGGAGGCAACTCACTGGTCGTCGATGACAACAGCGGGGTCGCCGTGACGATGTGGGCAGCTGATCTACAGCACACAGAAATGAATGTCAGATTCTGGCATCAGAGTCAGCCCAAGCATGGTGGAAAATCGGAGAGGACGTAGGAATACTACCTAAACAATAATATAGAAGTATAGTTATCTAGTGTTCTAAATTCCGAACTTCAGACTCGTACCCAGACAGGAAATGTATGGACATGCACACACAGACACACACGCACGCAGGCACGCAGGCACCACACACACACGCACGCACGCACGCACACACGCACACACACGCACACAAGTGTGACATACCGAAGTGGTAGAGCGACACACTCGTACGAAGCAAGCAGGCAGAGCAGTGTGAAGCCCAGCACTGGATCCGTTACCACGGTGATGCCACGCACAGGACTCACTGGGCTGCAGAAAAACAACAATCGGCAGCGTCAGTCGACCGCAAACCTTCACTTATGCCACAACAATGTAGAAGCATAATATTCTTTTACTATTAAAATGATCATCTCACAAGTAAATCGAGAAGTTAATAAATGAAGAAAATTTTAGACTCCAGAGCTGCCAGCATACATATTACTGATTACTTCAGTATAAAAATTATTAAGAGTTCCTGCTGTTATAGGCTATAACACAATAAATGAATGGCAAACGTTCACCCGCTATCTCCAGATTCGCGATAACTGGACAATGGAATATTCAAATGGTACCACAAAACGAGCGCACGTAGTTACGTGATGCAAATATTTATAGACTGGTACCTATCTCAAAATGTATACACAGGTAATTAACCTAGTGTTACTGTGGAGAGACAGCACTCTGGTCTCACGAGAGCAAAAGTTACTCACTAGGTATGTTAACATATGTAAACAGTCCAATTTGAAAGGCAAATCGGTGCACCTATTGGTGGAAAGAATGTTGTGAGAGTGTTCATGTCAGTGATGACATGTTAGCCTTACATTCGGTGTTATGCAAGGAGTAACGGTAAGTATCGAAACGGTTACTTTCGGTTTAACTTTAATACACTACTACTCTCACTAGATCCTCTAATACTGTCACTAGTCCCATCTGTCTGGAAAATGTACATGTGAATTAGTGGTACTGATACAGAAACCTATAGAAAAGCAAGCGATGCACTGCCTGAAACATTGATATTCGAGAGAATTACATACCTGTTAGGTAGGGGCTTGGTGCAAATAAGGTGCTCTACATAACATTCTTGGTCCTGTGAAGTGCTGCCACCTATGAATGTAAAAAAATCCACGCTGCACTAAAATGCCAACGTGCTGGAAAAGTCGTTTCATGTCACTCGAAAATTGTTATTACTATTATTCCTTTATCGTTTTAAATTTCTTCATTTTCTTTTTCTTCTTTTACTCTTCCCTCGAATTTTCATTATGGCTACTATTACTGCAATGGCAATGAAAATATGTGCTTTCTTCAATTCAACAGCGTATATAGGAAATACGGGTGCAGTGCATGTGCTTCGCTCATATTACCTTTGTCAAGCACACTGGCTAGTGTCTCCACCCATGGCATGACGACACAGTGCACACCTGCCGAGTGCACACAGAAGTATCTACTAGCTGTGCCTGGGTCTGCAAGTAAACACATGATCTACTGTAATTACGGATTCACGTGTCCACTTTCCATTTCACTGAAAGAGCTTTCCATCGGCTAGCTTAGCTTTCAGCGAATAAAAATGCGGTCGAATTGCACGCAGCATTACTAGGCAGTCATGGCAGCTGCGAACAGCGAGAAACAGATGCTGGGTTATGTTGCGGTCGTCTTGCATCCATATAACATAATACCGATCCTATCAGGCAACAAAAAGCGAGAGACGTGTAACGATAGATACGTCTATAAATAATATCACGAGACTAAGGGAGCACTGATCATTAAATTTCAATGCAGAGGCACACGCATGCACGGATACAAGCATGCACTCAGGGAAACAGAGAGCAACAGTCTCGCGTGTCCCACCACACCCTCTTCTTCCACATCAGACGCCTACCACGATACAGCATGATGGGGCAGGTGAAGTCGTCCGCCACCGTATCCGCTGTTGCTATGGAAACCGTCGTCAACGACAGCTCGAGCTCGACGCTCTCGTAGACGTAGAGTGCAGCTTCCGAGACCTCCTGCTGCTCGTCATCGCTGTACGCAGACCTCGTTGACTAGGTAACGAGATCAAGATGACGAGGATGGCAGAGGATAAAGATGCAAAAAAAAAGACATATTAATTATGCAATAAAACAATTTTGAAGGTTTGATTTTATCGCCGGAGAGTAAACACCAGATGATCGACCAAGGTATCCGTCTCACCTGGATTACATACGATTTTATTTGGGTTACCTGAGCTCTTGCCTGAATTTAATTACCCAAGATCTCACATGGGTTACCCAAAACCTCACCTGAATTACACAAGACTTTATCTGGGTTACACGAGACCTCATGTGAATAACAGGAAATCATATCCCAGCTACATGAAACCTTATCTGAATAATGTCGATATCTTACAAGCGTTTCTGGGTCGTCATCAGACTCACTGTCCAGCACAACGCAGTGATACAGCCTGCCGGCACATGTTGCTATGGCGAGCACGGGAGGAGAGGATGCGAGGCAGAGGATGCTGCAAGCATCCACGCCGTAGTTGTCTTCCGCGGCGGGCTTCATCGTGAGTGGACCCTTCATCTGCTGACCGCTGCAACGCGAACACGAGACGTGTTAGCACATACCTACGCGTTGAGGCTGACCCGCACACCATACAAGGTACAAGGCTACGGATGTAAATGCCAGCAAGCTGTCGTAGATAGTGCAACTCGCATGGCACAGAAAGTGTTCAAATTATTGAACTCACAATGTCACACTAGGCCATCTGTGTGTAACACGAGCGGTTTATGCTTAGAGGTGTTTTATTATGTATACGTGGTCATAGATGTGTGGTTTTCGGTCAGGGTTACGTCTAGTGTGGGCAGATCTGATGTAAATTGGGTCAGGGTAATTACTAGGGTCAGCCCTAAGATCCTACAACAGGGGGGGGGGGGCAGGCACAACCAGGAACTAGCAATGCAGCAAGGGCGGCAGGCAGAGCCAAGGACTAGCCATGCAGAAGGGGAGACAGGTCGAACAAGGGACTAGCCATACAGAAGGAGAGGCAAGCAGCAGAGATCCTTACCTGTCACTTGCAGTCAAGCTTGTGGGCAGACTGAACACATCTCCATTGCCATACAGGAGATAGACAGGCCATTCCACCACCTGGTCTGCAGCATCTGAAACACAGACACGCGAGTTCAGCATCTATACCTCGTGGCTGAGTGTCTGACTATGACCAACATTTATTATTCTACATAGATTAGTTTTTCATCTATTTATATTACCATGATCTATTTTCAACTGCACACACTGTCTATGCCTCGATGAATAAGTTACTATGACAAAATTCTAAATGCCAAGATCCATAATAATATTCCCAGCAAGTCATATCTCGCTCCTCACCCAAGCTCCACATCACTCGATATCTATCTACACTAAACCGGCAACATAACGCATATCACAGATGAGTACACGATAATGTCTATGAAGAGAGACAGGCAGTCAGACACCGACACACAGACAGGCCCGTAGACAGATAGACAGACAGCTCGCCAAATACAGAGGCAGGGACAGAGATCGAGAGAGGAGAGAAAAATAGAAGCGATATAGCACAGAATAACGAGTTTACTCATGACGTGTCAATGACAAAGTACATCGGTAATGTCTGAGGTGTTGACACTGTACAGCCTTAAGCACGTTAAACATTTCTGCCGCACTTCTGCATTGAGCATGTAATTCTATTTTTGTTGATTTGTGTAGCAAACGTAAACACGTTTACTTTTCAAAGTGACACATTTTCGCGCAGCTCATATGCTTCGCGATCATTGGCAATTATGCCTGGGTAAATTAAGTCTCGTTTCTCTTAAGAGGTAATTACAGTTTGATCGACACTGGGAAGACAGATACAGATAGAGGGAGAGAATGATAAGGAGAAAGAGATAGAGAGAGAGAGTGAGAGAGAGAGAGAGTGAGAGAGAGAGAAGGATAAGAAGAGAGAGAGAGAAGGATAGGAAGAGAGAGAGAGAGAGTAGGATAAGAAGAGAGAGAGAGAGAAGGATAAGAAGAGAGAGAAAAGAAACAGAGAGACAGACACACACAGAGAATGGGAGAGATAGAGCGAGTGAGAGAAAGAGCGTGAGAGGAGATTGCGAGGGGAAGATAGAAGGATAAAGAGAGGGCGGGAAAGAGCGTGAGAGAGAGAGAGAGAGAGAGAGACAGAGACAGAGAGAGAGATGACGAGGGTAGGAATAGGTGGGAAACAGGGGGTGGGGAGTGGATAGGGTAACAGTGGGGTTCTCGGCTGGTGGCCGCAGCTGTTGGGCTGTGATCAGCAGCAGCATCAGTGCGTGGTGGGAGGGATGAGGGATTCACTGTGATTGATCGGACATCCTCCCAAGTTCGAGCAACCGCCAGCAGCCCGCCGCGTGCCAGTAGTTACTAGTAGTAGCCTATCGCTAACACAGTATCAATTTACGGCGTAGCACCACCCCCTAGCTGCCAGGGGTGGTGGTAATACAGTGCAAGTACGGCGTATATATATATATAGGATACCCCCGATATAGGTACTCCCTCCTGCTCTCCCCACCAATATCAACAATTCCTGTTTACGATTCATAGGAGTCCGCTGCCTGTGCTGCATGCATGACCATGCGTGTGTGCTTGTGTGCGTGCGTGCGTGCGTGACCAGCGAGCGTTCAGTGTATACCTTAGTGTGTTGTCGGAGGTGAGCACGGTGAGGCATGTGTCGGTGTCGCTGCCCGGGTGCCAGCTGACCTGCAGCACGTGCAACTTGCCGTTCGACATGAGGAATCGCTCGGCGATGGGAATCGTCCTGTGAACGCACAGAGGCACATCGAAACCAGCGTTAGTGGACACCTCTGTAGAAAGGACACCAGTCTATAAGGGCCACTTTAGGGAAGGTTCCTTCAGTGGCATTTACACAGTGACAGCGCTTGGAATGGACACCTGTATATAAGGAACACTTTGGGGGAATTTTTCATTGCATGGGAGTTATAACGTGTAACCACCTCACCTCTATGGAACAGATATCAGTCTATAAAGGAAACTCCCAGTGTCTCCCTTGATTGACCCCCTGATATACAGGTTTGACTGTACAATGTACATACAGTTGTTTTAAAGCAGCACATGCACAACCAGCTTGACTTCCATACACAACTCAATCATACAAAAGTTTCACCGGAAGGATCTGTACTCTGAATGATGAATGCTCTTATACTTACATTAATATCACTTTGGTTACTGCAGCAGTGCGGAGATATTTGTTATGTTATACCAATGGACATAGATGTGTTTCAGATAGAATTACATAATCAATATATATCTTTTTGCAGTTACTGCAGTCACTTGGCTTCCCAAGATGTACCTACCGTACTACTAGTAACTGTAAAACAAGCTGTTCTCTTTCAGTTTGAAATAACACCTGGAGTGTAATTAGTTAGAGAAGAATTCAAAAAGACAAGAAAGAAAGCCCAGCATACGTGTTAATAGAGTGCTGTTCTAAGAAAATGTGATATTTATAGATTTTAACAAGGGGTTTAACAGATTACTCGGGTGGACAAAAACACCAGTAAGCGCATCTCGATAAAAACTGAGCACTTTCTAACCAATATGACACTAGAAGTAGAAGATGTGAAATTAACAGTATGGCAGTGTTGAGGTTTCAGATTCAACCAGGAATTGATTGTCTAAAGCCATCAGTCTGTCAGTCGACTGGAACACTGATCAACTTAACTTCTAGCGGTAGAGCCAGTTTCGGACTGGCATGGGCAAACAGAGATACATTCAATTATTTCTTCATAATTAAACCACAGCTGCAAGCCTCCTTCAAGTAAATTAAACTCAGAATAAATTCAGCCACTACAATTTATGACGATGTCAGCAGTAAGATAACATTATGCACGAATGCATGTCTCTACACATAGATCACACACTCTTCTCTGAAGAACAGAAAGCTGTCAGATAGAAATTGCATTCACAATCAAGCATGTTGCACGACAAGATAGCATCAGCAAAATTTCAATTCACTGAAAAACGTCTGATTAACTGCAATTACATGTGGTCAGCCAGATTATGTAATTTAGTAATTTGCATGACTAAAACATAAAGAGCGCTATTTTTTCACCTGGTGACGATCTCACATTACAAGCTTAATTAAATCAGGCCAACATGGCGTGGGCAGAATATATTTGTCGAATAGTATTCTGTATGCTACGTCCACTCATTTTAAAGATTATTTTCGGTATAACTTGGCAAATGTACCTATTGCCAGTATTGGGCTTAATCATGAATCTGCATCCATAGCGACATTTACCTGCAAATTATTTTCTCCTTTCCTCCTTCAAACTCGCCAAACTTTCCCCACCTCCTCGGCAGCTCAAGGACAAATATTCCCGTAGTACCTACAAGTGCTACCAGGTGGCCCATCCTACTGAATGCAATTTCTTCGACTTCGCATACAGGTATGTTGGTGCAGAGCAAGTGCTGCAAAACAAACGTAAATTAGACCGGCGCGAGAAATAATGACAGCATTCGCTTTTACTTTTAGCATTCATCAGCAAAAGCTTCGGCATTATGCTCGTGACCGATATAATCTCATTAGCTAGAGAGAGAAGTAATCATTCACGAGCTAATGCAATCATAGGAAAGTGTCGGCACATCATGATATTGCTGCGCCCCCCGAGATAATTTAAAATTGATCAGGGATGTGACATACAACCACACAGTTCTTCCCTGCTCGTATAACTAAAAATGTTGAAAATCTATAGTAACAGTTGTTAACCTGAACTGATGATTTTCCGCAGCCCGTCGACAACCAATCCCCGGTCTGATCGCATGAACTCGCTCGTGACTGGTCCAGACCGGCAGCTGCTGAATTAAGGGCTGCCAAGTTCGTACTCGATAAACACTGATTTTCTGCGTTCCACGCGAAAAGTATTCCATCATTCACGGCTAGTATATTACTACACTCAGGTCTGTCGGGCGTTTTCGTCGCTGATTTAGTTATCTGTTTGAAGAGTTTGTGATGTCTTAGGAAACTGCGCCAATTTCCATTTTCTCTGGGTGCCGCCATTTTACGCTCTCGTTCACGCAGAGAGTCTCGTCCCGTCGTTATTGTTATTTTTAAGTATTGCGCTATCTGAATGATAAAGCATATAAAAATAATTATAATAAATTATGCTAAATATTTCATAGCATTAAAACGAAAACTATACGGAAGAACGAGCTGCTGAAACGCATTTGGCTCTGACACTCAGGCGATCCTAGCATGTAAAATCACGTGACCACAACAGTGCGTTGAAGATTGACGGAGCGATGGCTGCAGGGATACAGTCGATGTATCAATACTGGAAAACCTTCGACCTGCAACAGTTACAGGTAAGCGATTTTTTTACTAATCGTGCACGATCCTCAAGTCAGATGACTGTAGAATACTGTCCCGTATTTAGATTCCTTGAAGAGACGTTAAAACGAGCAGGATCCGTGTCTATATCGACGAATAATCGAGACGATTTGATTTGGATCGATGTCTGGCTGCCGATATGTGGAGCTGCCTGCTCTTTGTGCTCCAATAGCGATCGAATCACTCGGTGAACTGATGAACGCCCTGCCATGGCTGCCACGCCGACACTTGCAGGGAAAAACGTTAGAATGCTCCTGAACGCGGCGGCGTGCAGAAGTTGGCGGTGGCGTAGAGTTTGTCTGCGGGAAGCAGGCATGAGGCGGAACATAAATTTGCAACTTGTTGCTTCTGATTTGGCAAAGTCGGCGGCATAGCATTAATTCCCCGTATTTGTTCAGCGCGATAATGATACATGTTATCATCGGCGAGTACCGTTTACGTTCTGTTGTCGGCACACACACGCGCTCACTCGCGCTTAAATGTGGGATAATTGTACTTATGTAGGAACTATTACATGTGCCTCATTAAGAAATTTGTTAATGTAGAAGAACTCGGTCTGTCTTGTGTTGAATCTTGAATCTTGTCTGTCCATAGATGTGAAACATAAGCTCTTATTCGATATCCATGGTCTGTCCCGCTGTAAATTTTCTCACGTGAAAATGTAATGACGAACGGTGGGTAGTGTTGCTGTTATCAGGGTTGTTACGTCAGTGGTAATTAACAGAGTCTGGCCTGTAGGTGTGACTATATTGCTGTGTCACGCTTAGCTTTCAATAAACGTATATTTGAGTTTGGTCATTAGACACAACCATAAAATAACCATTTGGTGTATACACAGTTAGATATATGTGTGTATATATCTCGTATCTCTCTTCTATTCTCTCTCTCTCTCTCTCTTGAGAACCGTAGTAGTTTATTAGCAATTATGGAAGAAGGAAGGCAGCAGTATGCGGGTAGATTAGATGGATGTGTAGATGACATTGAGAATGAATGGCTGGATTTGGCGGACGATGGATTGATTGCGCTGTGTGCGCGTAGATGGGAGCCGATCGATAGGATCTATGGATGGAATGGCATAACAAAAGAGGTGAGAATAGTTGAAGCGAGATGAGAAGAAAACACATGGCGTAATAGAAGAGAGAGAGCATGAACTGGATAGAGAGAGAAGAGATCAGGAGATTCGCCGAGAGAGAGAGAGAGATGTGAGACGAGAGAGGAGAGGAGATGTGAGAGAGAAGAGAGACTGGAGAGCACAGGGCAGTCAGACAGACCGACACACAGACAAGGCCCGCTAGACCAGATAGATCAGGACACGCTCGCCAAATTACAGCAGGCAGGGGACAAGAGATCGAGGAGACAGTTGCAGCAGAAAAATTAGCAAAGCCGATATAGCACAGAATATACGAGTTTATTACATGACATGTGTCAATGACAACGAGTACATCGTAATTTTTTCGCTGAGGCGTTGACATGTACAGCTTAATGCACGTTAAATACAATTTCTGCCGCACTTCTTGCATTGAGCATAGTAATTCCTATTTTTTGTTGATTTTGTGTAGCAAACGTAAACACGTTTATTTTCAAGAGTGACACATTTATCGCGCAGCCGGCATTATGACTGTGCGCGGCGCATTCATTATCGCAATGTGCTATGCCTGCGTAAAGTAAGTCTTCGTGTCTCTTAGACAGCGTAATTACAGTTTGATCGACACTGCGGAAGACATTATACAGATAGAGGAAGAGACATTGATAAGGAGAATAGACGAGAGAGAGAGAGGAGTGAGAGAGAGAGAAGGATATAGAAGGAGAGAGAGAGAGGATAGGAACGAGATGAGAGATAGGATAGAAGAAGAGAGAGAGAAGGATAAGAGATGATAGAAAGAAACAGAGAGACAGATCACACACAGAGAAATTGCGAGAGATTAGAACGCGATGTGAGAGAAAGAGCGTGAGAAGCGAGATTCGCCGAGGGAGATAGAAGCGATGAAAGATCGAGGGCGCGTGAAAGAGCCGTTCGCGAGAGAGATAGAGAGAGAGAGACTTAGAGATCAGAGCAGAGCAGATGACGATTCTCTCAAGGGTAGCGAATAGGGTGGCGAAACAGGGGTGATGGGGGTGGCATTAGGCGTAACAGTTGGGGTCTCGCTGGTGGCCGCAGCTGTTGGGCTGTGATGCAGCAGCAGCATCAGGTGGGCCGTGGTGGACAGGGATGCAGGGATTCACTGTGATTGATCGGACATCCTCCCAAGTTCGGGAGCCAACACGCCAGCAGCCCCGCCGCTCGTGCCAGTAGTTACTAGTAGTAGCCTATCGCTTAACACAGTATCAGATTTACGGGTGTAGCAACACCCCCTAGCTGCCAGGGCGTGGTGGTAATTACAGTGCAAGTACGGCGTTATATATATATATATATATAGGATACCCCATATAGGTTATCCCTCCTGCCTCTCCCCAACCATATCAACAATTCCTGTTTACGATTCATAGGAGTCCGCTGCCTGTTGCTTGTATGCATGACCATGCGATGTGTGCTTGTGTGCGTGCCGGTGCGTGGCGTGCGTGGCTGTGGTGTTGTGTGTGTGTTGGTGATGTGTGTGTGCTGTGCCATGTGTGCGCGTGCGTGCGTGAGGTGTACGTCAGCCTCGTTCCAGCCGGCGATGCGAAACATATGCCACCGCCGCGTCTCGTCTGCGAAGTCCTGCTTCGCGAAGCCAAAACAGTTCGGCGATTTGTGTAATTGAAGCTCGCCGTTTATTAGTCGTAACAGGTAAATTGTTGTGGATACTGCGCATGATAAACATGCCCGTGCGTGCGTGCGTGCGTGTGTGTGCGTGTGTGTGTGTGTGTGTGTGTGCCGAGAGAGAACGTACGCGGCCGTCGT